ATGTAAAGTGATTTATATTCAATTTTTGAGAAAAAAAAAATACTGTTATTTCAAATCAAGTATGTTCGTTGAAGATTATTATTTGTCGGTTGTGAATAAGCCTTTACTAATTACTTCCACATTGTCTTGTAGAATATGCTTTTATTTGTCCATTTCAAAATGGCACCCAAAAACATAGAGTAACGACTCGTATACTGATTATAAAAATTAACGTTAATTTGTCTTGAATATTGGATATTAGGATCCTATATATAGGTTCACGACAAGATAACAACATCATTATTGATTGCAATTGATCAATATTGAATTCTAATTCGTGTTTTTACTTTCGAATATTATTACGGAAAATATTGAGTTAGAGATTTAGCTCCTTTAACGGTAATTAATGCCAGCGTGTCAACAATGTTTCGTGGACTGCACCCTACAAAGTTGAGAATATAATTTAGTTGACTAAGTTGGTTACACATGAAGTCTAGGTGACATAGTACGTTATTTGTGGAATACGATATGTATTTGCTATTCACGACATACCTACATTATAAAGAAAATATAATGTTGTAAGGGGAGAAATTTGAGCTATCTTTTGTAGATTGAGTAATACATTGCAAATGATAGTGGTTTACCTGCGAAATGAAGTTCGTGTTATTTTTTATATAAAAAATAAACATTTATATTTTTTAAATGGACAAAATTTGTAATTATTCTAATTCATCATTAAGTTAGAGATACAGTTAAAGAATAAAAATTGGAATAACTTAAGCGAAACAAAAAGGTTTTGGAAAACAAACATTGTGCCATTATGTCCATTATTAATATTGTTACATTTTGACCAGTGACATTGATTCCCTGTGTCATTTTGTCCGGTGACATTAATTCACTGTGTCACTTTACCTTTGGGCATCAGGAGACATTTTATCCTTTGGCATTAATTCTACGGTCGTTTTCTGTTAAATATGCTTAACTACAATTACTGTTACCACGTCACATACAATGCAGTAGGAAAATGTTTAATAATTATCATTGAAGTGTTCTTGAATGTTTACCTTCTTGTCGTTTGTCCACCTAAAACCGGTAATTTTTCTGTCTATTATTTTACACGACATGAGAAACACACCGTATGAACGAAGACGGGCAATAGTTGAAGTTTTACCGGAACAGCGGCGTTTGGACGTCTCTAAATACAATTCCAACTGCCAAGGGTTCTCTCATAAGTGCACGCAAAAGTGTACACAGCGAGAGTCCAGTATCCTTCCACTCGACAACCACGGTCCCTTTGCAAAAGTAATGTAATTAATTAAAGCTAACATGATTGTTCCGAACAATTATTCAACACTGTATCGGTACGTAAAGAAAGAATGTCGCCTCCTAGCAACATATGTTGTAGATACCGACATTGCTACTAGATAAAACCTAAAGAATAGAGAATTTACTATAAACTAAATATTAGAATATTCTAACTATGTCGTACATCATTCCGGACATTTATGGTGTGTGACAGTAACTAAAGCTATAAATTATTTCTGGATGGCGAAATTTGTTTTCGAGACTACGTTATCTGTGTAAATATTATTTTGTGGGATTTAATTATCGCCTAGGTAATTAAATATGCATGTAAAACACTTATTCTTGACCTGTTAGAATACGAACTCGAGTAAGATCTAAACAAGACCTGACGAAGTCGTAAGGATCCGGTAAGTGAAATCTTTGTGTACTACGTGACGACAAAGTTTTAAAGCATGGCCATGGGTAGAAATTAATATAAAAGATGGCGGAACTTGTAGTCACTAACTAATGTCTGCGAAACCGGAAATGCGACGTTGTCTTGTAAAATGAATACACAAGAACTAAAATAGAAGTCAGAAAATAATAAGACCATTAATTCGACCATTTTTATAGCATGACCATTTTCTAACTAGACCTTACTATACGGTGGTCTGGTGTCATTCGTTATGATTAATAAAAAACATGAGAAACCTTTTCTCCGCGATGAGAACCTTTTTCTCAGCGGGTTACACCATCGCGAAGAAAAGGCTTTTCATGGTTTTTTTTTTTTTTTGTTTGTTTGTTTTTGGTGGGTTTTTTTTTTCTTTGTTTTTTTATTTTTTATTTTTTGTTTTTACCATAGTTTTTATTGAGGTAAATTACTAGAAGAGGGTAGAAGTTAACGAATGACACCAATGGGCCACCGCATACTCCTCTGATAAATACATCAATTAATTTTTCACTTTAAGCAACTTAATCCATGTTGAACACACTGTGTGTATTGAACTTTCTTAGCTATCTGAGTAAGAACAAATAACTGAAAGATGGTTACCAAATCTGGTGTATCCATATGTCTGGAATATTCTGAAAGTCCCTTCGTTCTTTATCATTTTGTCTGTTGCTGAAATATTTTTTTCTATGGTCCTTTTTTATGAAACCAGATGGTTTGATTTTGCTTTTAACCTCTGTACTTCAGCTTCATTAACATTTCATTCTTCTTTATCACATTTTTAGCACAAATTTGTTTCCAATACATGTAATTTAAAAGATCAGTTATTTGAGTTTTGTTCGTGTATCGTGTATAATTATGCGTAGCGGAAATATGTTACATTTACATTAATATTCAATCAGTCAACTGTATAATATAATTGATGTAGTCATTAATACACCAGTCAGGTAAATTAAGTCAATAATGACATTTATAGTTATTAGAGAATTTACATATGAATCTTCCCGGTGTGCGTTTAATCTGGGTTTTAAATTTCTCTCATGGCGTAAGTAACACAACCTTTCCATGCAACTGCATATTAAACATTTTTGACACATACTATCAGTACACCTGTACATGTATTGAAATTGGGGAATTTGCAGGTCTGGCTATTGTATAATCTTTTAAAAGAAAATGTCACAGTTATTAACAATTGCTGTGGTGTACTTGGTCTTTAAGTTCCACAAAAATATGAATATATACTCTTCAAAAAAAGTAGGGGAAATTCAGAAACAATACAAAACTGCGGAAATGCACTGCTGTTTTTATTAGAGGTAACCAGTGTATGTTAATAACAGGCAAATTGCCTACACATGAACATAAACAGTTCATATGGGTGGCTTATCTGGCGGTCACATTTCACTCGCAAAGAGATACACTGTCAAAAGTGAAAATGGACGTTTTTGATTTTTGTCTTAATAATGAGTAATTGCTCCACCAATCCTCAGACATTTAGCAATTCATCCTCGCATGCTACCAATCAATCGTCCAATCAGGATTTGGGGCAATCTGACCCACTCCTCTTGCAGTGCCACAGCCGATTCTTGCAGTATTGTCGGTTGACGTTGACGAACACGTCTCCCGATCAAATTAAACGGCTTATCTGACGACCCTATATCACCCACAAAGAGATACACTGTCAAAAGTAAAAATGGACGTTTTTGATTTTTGTCTTAATAATAATGAGTAATTGCTCCACCAATCCACAGACATTCAGCAATTCGTCGTGGCATGCACCTAATCAACCGTCCAATCACGATTTGGGGCAATCTGACCCACTCCTCTTGCAGTGCCACGGCCAATTCTTGCAGTGTTGTCGGTTGACGTTGACGTCGGCGAACGCGTCTCCCGATCAAATTAAACGTAACACACTAAAGCAAAGATACGCTAAATAGTAAATCTTATGCAAGGACCGATAGGAAAGCAAACATGGATAGGATAAACTAGCACACAGCAGTTTTCATCAACCCTTCTTTGAAGTGTCAAATTTGACAATGAACCCCTCCCACGTGTATGGCGCTATTGCGTGTCGCATGTGCAGCTCAGTGGTTATGTTGGGGCGATAAGTTCTTTATCTGTGAACATACTCTCAAAGCATGTCAAGTGTCCATAACTATTTATCATATCACAACCTGCATAGGTATTTGGAATTTCAATATCCCCTACTTTTTTTGAAGAGTATATATATGAAACAAAAATTATAATCAAATAGATCTAAAGTAATACTGTAAAAAAAAAACCAAGTAGGTAGTTTAGTACAAGTGTGTGAGGGATAAACACTTTTCTTTTTACACAATTCAGACTTCGTTTCAATCTAAAGGGTATTATTTAATCTAAAATTGTAGTTGTTAATTTCGGTCTAAAATAAATATTGTATGTACTTGTATATTATTGTAAATATTTATTCTCCCTTACCTAATCAAACAAAATGCTCACACATTTATTGAAATTAAGGAGCGATAGGGTGTCCTCCAATATTCTAACTGCCTTTCACTATTTACGAGCGCAGCTTACTTGAGGTAAACCGGGTGTTTATTGTAAGGGGACTGCAGCACATCTGAGTGGCTAACGGTCCTTGGTGAATCCTAACCAAAGTTACATTAGTTTATATTAATTTAAAGTTACAATTTCATATTTTCTAAGATTGTCAAAACATAATTATTTCTATGTCTTTTGCTCAATAGGTTGTCAACTCACTATTATACGATCATAGGTGTCATTCTCACACTTAAAACTCATTTACACCGGAAATAATAACACAATTACTTCCCAGTTACCTCCATTGTTTTCTATTCTCCACCATGGAGTAGCGATCTTTCAAACGTTTGAATTTGAAGAGGAAAATGATATTTTTGCCAATTTCTCAACTGGCAATAGTAAATTATAGGATTAATAGAATTATTCTTTAACAAGTTAGGTGTGTTTATTGATACCATCTATTTTAAGGCTTTATTTAAATAAGTTTTTAAAATATAACGTAAAAATATGAAATTGCAACTTTAATGGTTCATTAAATATAATAATCATCATCTAAATACAAACTTTTAGGCCATATTAAAACTTATAAGATTTTGTGGGACTGTCTATTGTCGTATTATCTCTTTAAGTAAACTTTAAAATTTAAAAAAAGCACGGGTCTTGTGACATATGTACTCGCGGTCAAGAAGATAATACGTTTTTCAAACAATGGAATTCAAAATTGTTTCAATAAGGGTGTAGTAGTACCTCAATAATACAACATTTATTTGGACGACGGTTTGTCCCCGTTGAGATATGAACACTAACAGATTAAATATTAAAGGGATAGTGTAAGGTATATCTGTATTTAACAATGCAATTTGCCCTTAGGGCAAAAGTTGATATTGTAAGTTGTCTATCAATCATTATTTAGATTGAAGCCTTTTCTTGAAAGCGAGATGAGTTCAGCCGTTTTTGTATATAGACCCGAGTAACCAGGCAGTATTTAGTCTCAAACTTGGTTAGTGGAATTGGTGTCAAGTTTACACTAATTAATGTTTGAAAGTGGTAAATGTTGAGGACAAGGGTACATGTTTTGATATATTGTCGAGCATGAAACCCGTAGTGAAATAATAATGCCAAGGTCACCACATTAGGTTACAGAGAGAGATGGGTTTAACGTCCACTCGACACAAACTAGGTCATTTCGGGACTAACATATGGTTTAATTTTATTTCAATAATTCGCTTGCGCGCAGGGGTCTTTAGCAGTGGGGGGAACCGGAGGACCCGGAGAAAACCCACGAGGTTGGACAGGCGACCCTACTCCTTGTCACGTACAACCGGGGATTCGAAACCAGGCCAACTGACTCAATGACAGGCCTTTTGATACAGCGCGCACGTGCTAACCATTCGGCCATCACACCCCCACCACATTAGGCAACGTTCCCATTGCGGCGTGATAAAAGTTATTTAGAAGATTTTGAAAAATGTTAGCTAGATTTTATTTGTTTATCGTCACTTTAACACCATATATTACCCTACATCTATCTATAACCCCTGTGACCCATTAAGGCTATTTGATAGACTACTAGTTTATGTTTCGAAGGATTATTCAAATTGTCTCCAACCTTTGATAAGATGTCAGTATGAATAGCATGGACGATAATAACTTGTTTACATATGTATGTAGCTATGCAACCAACGAAGTACGTTAATATATTTTATATGAAAGTAAATTTCACATTGCCAGATATTGGATTTATTTATTGTGTATATGAAGAGGAATGTAGTACCTGTTTTATTACTGGCCACACAGACTGAGGTAAGATCACAGCTTATCAATGTCATCCAGATCTCTGCATCTATAGCCAATCAGTTCAAATCCGTCTTAGGATGTGGTACGCACGATGAGCACAGTTTTTTTTTGTTTTTTTTTTTTGCATTTAGCGCTTTATAAATGGATAAGATGAGATCATCCGTACAGATAATCTCAAGTTAACCTCTTGTGTAGACAACATACTGGTCGTAATATTTCAGTTGAGGCAAACTCGTTTTCCTAAAGGACTAAAGGAGTTGTCCCAAATATATTTTGTTGAGCAAAACAAATTCATACTGTGTAATAGAAACTATAAAAATACTATATCATGGTCACCTGAAATCAAACTTTCGGCTTTCCAATTTCACGTCATAAAACCGGTCATTAAAATGGAATGGATAAGAGAAGAAGGTTTTTACTGCTGTCCATTATACATTTTCTGTCTTATTATTAGGCTCATATCATCATCAAATGTCTATACTTATTAACAACATGGCTGATGTGTTTGTTTTAGCTACGAGTCTGAAGCAAACTCATTTGGTTTATTAATGCTAGTAACATCTTAAAATCTGACTAATTAAACATACCCAGTCCAATGTAGCAACACAACTTTCGTATAACTGCAAATATTATCGGCTAAATTTTATTTTAGTTTATAACTATTATGAGACCTTAAAGGACAGTATTTGTGTCAGTCATTATCACATATGTGATGAAACTGAATAAACACATTCCAAGTATAATTTTAACACAGCGATCATTGCTACAATAGATGCGTAATGAAGCTTTCTAAAAACAGAAGTGACGAAAGTAAAAGGAAAACTCGGGCTATCCTTCTGTATAACTAACTGAAGTGACGAGTGATAACAGATACACGGACGAATTTCTGCTCACTAATAATTCCTTCGAAGAACAAAAGTTGTCATATGAGACTGGGAGGATATCTGACAATTCAAAAAAATAATTCACTGTCACTTCCGTTTCTTGAAAGCTTCCTTACGCATCAATCGTAGCAATGATCTCTGTGTTAAAATTATATTTGGAACGTGTTTAACCAGTCCATCACATGTCATAATGACTGAGACCAATATTGTCCTTTAACACGTAAAAATAAAAGTGAGATTTCAATGGGAACCCGGGGGGGGGGGGGGGGCTCCAATGGTAGCCTAAAACAAACACATCTGATTTATCGCAACGTTTTTAACGACATTTATGTAGCTAACTTGCTATGCGTATCTATATACCTGGTCAATACCGCGACAACTGACCTACAACAATTTCTTTCACATGTTGAGCGAATACTTGATGAAATATCGACGTTATGTTATTTATGTATCTAAATAGTTACGGTTGCTATACTTATATATAATCAATACAATGTGATCCATTAAGGATTCACCCCAGATAACATTTTAATGAATAAAACTAATCAATTCTATATATTATGCCTCTAAGAGACGTTTATCCTTGTCCTGTTCAACTGCGATACATTTTGTGATTGATTTTTGCAAAAATGCAGCCAGTGTTCACGTATATGTGGTGAAAAGTATACAATCTGACACAGGTCAAACATTCAGATTGAATGACAAACTTAAACGCGGTGCCGTGATTTCGATTCCATGTTTGCCTTTACAGGAGTACTGTTATCTGCATAGCCTTTGGGTTTTCTCCAGGTTCTGTGATTTCACTGTTAAATACCCCTTCACAAAAGCCAAGTATTAAAATAAAGATAAAGATTAAGATAGTAGCATAATGCCCTAGTTTGAGGACCCAGATTCTCTCTTTATATTCAGGTATCTTTTTTTAGACATAATACGATCTAGTATACTGAGAAATGAAGACTTAAAACATACGTAAAAACAGATGAAATAAACTTCTAATTCATATCCTTTAATTGGATTCTCCCTTGAAATGGATGCTGGGGACGTCACCCCTCTATACCCCCCGCCCCCATCACTCCTCTATACACCCCCCCCCCCATTTTATTTCAAATTTGGATTAAAGCAAATCCAATCTGATTAAAATACAGATCTATGTGTTGTTTCGTTTTTTTATACTTTCGATAGCCTACACTACATGAAGATCTGACCGGTTGTAGCGATAGGTCGCGTCAGAATTCTTACGAGCGGCTTTTGACCCTATGTAATATAATAACAATTTATTTTTATATAATATAATAATTTTTTTATAAATATAATAATATAATAATAATATATAATAATTTATTTATAATGCGCCTATTGCCAATATAAAATACTGCTCAATGGCGCAGTTAACATTTTGTGGACATCACACATAGAAATATAAAATAAAACTAAATGGATGATAAAAGAAATTAAAATGGCATACGATAACAATCATAATATGGTAGTAAAGATTATAATAAAATATGACATGTAATAAACAAATTAAAATGGTTAAAAGTAATAAAGAATAAAATAGAACAGCGCCTAAAACAGTACACAATGAACTCGGATACCTGCATTAAAAGTAGTCAACAAAAAGGTGTGTTTTTAAATTGCGTTTAAAACTTTCAATGGTATCAGTTTAATATTGAGAGGTAAGGTATTCCACAGAAAAGTAGAAGCGTAGAAAAAGAGCGTTTACCATGAGATGTGAAAGGATAAAAAGGTGTAAGCAGGTTGCTATTTTGAGATCGGAGTGTACGGGATGGGGTATATAGGGAGATAAGAGATTTAAGGTAATCTGAATAATTATCTGAATGTAATGTAGAGTAAGTATGGCGTCAGACATTTGATTACCCAATCCACATTGATGTTACTAGTGGATTACCCACAGTTCCTGCAAAATACGCGTAAAGCTCGCCGTAACAGACCGTTTCATTGGCTAATAGCTCACATCATTCAGAACACGATAATGATAACAACTGTTCCAGATCCTAGTGTAGTAAAGACAAGTAAAACGAAATTTTGAACTATAAAAACAAAACGAAATAGGGTCTGTGTTTTAATCAGATTGAAGCAAATGGGTCATGATCGGACGATCAAAACTCTATGCCGAAAACATCCTGAACGCGGTAATGGCTATAGTTTTTAACGGATTTATTTCAGACTTGGTATGAAACATCGGGTCATGAGGGGACAAACCCTATTCAGCTTATCGTTCTGGCGCAAGACCCCCTTTCTGAAAACCTTGTGAACGCCTGTCTGTTTATTAACACTGAATTATAAAATCTTGTGGATTTGCTTTCCATATTATATAACACAAGTAATGTGTATATGCAACATATCAGTAAAAGCAACCGGCGGCAGATATAATTTGATATGACATTATGGACTATAATGGATATACTATGATGACAAAAGAAATGTGCAAAGTCTAAGTCTTAAAAGTTATAATGGGAAAGGTGGGGGCGGATATAGAAACGTTCTGAAGTGTTGACATATATTCATATACAACGACTAAAAATGAAATGAAATGAAATGAGGTTTAACGTCCTACTGTTCTACTCAGACTGGGCTAATGTATGCTATGTGGTCTATGAATGAAATTCTGCGTGGCCTATTCATTCTTATTTCGGATTCCAACTGTCAAGGATTCTTTTAAGTGTACGCGGGACCTCGGTTTTTCGTCCCATACGAACACGTTGTCCCTTGTCAGGCCCTCCGTCCGCCGGAAAATCCCGATGAGCTTTCTCGGCCAACGCAAGGAGCGAACACGGGACTTCCAGGTTAGGCAGCCAACGTCCTACCCACTAATCCACCGCGGCTCCCTACAACGACCAACCACCTGAAAAGGTAGATTTGATAGTGTTAATGTGTCTATCGATCGTTTTCAAGTGAAATAAATCACTTTCAGAGTTACACGGATTATATGCCGTGCATTTAGAAACCAAGCTTGGATAAGGATATTTGCTTTTGACAGATAGGTAAGTTTATTGTTTCCGAAATACCTGATACCTCTTTTTACTAGGTTTATCTTTAACTGGTGGGTTTCCCCTTGTCATTTATGAAGGACGGGTAGGACGAAAACCCAAAGCCCCGTGTACTCGTTGAAAGTTGGAATCTAATTACGTGTAGGTGGAAACGCCTCTTTGTTTGGGCCAAAATTTCCCTCATAGCACACAGCTATTAAACTCTTTGGTTCATATAAATATGACGTTAAACCCTTGATAAAGGTCAAATCAGGTACAAAAGTTCATTAGCGAAGGGCAAGGTACATAGTGACACCATCTTGTTACAAACTAGTCTCGACAGCAACAAGGTTGTTCATATTATTTTCCAACGCAGATTAATGGATACAAAAGTCCAAAATAAAATCTTCGCAATACAATTTTTCACTATCCGTGCCCCTTTAAATCGTACACCCGCGTGTTACCGTTCAAACGAAAATTCCAATTTCATGACCTTGCCCAATCGCGGTTACACTATAGATAAAACAATGTTATTATCTCTAGACCGATATTCCGAACTATGTAGTACGGTACGTAGTCGAGTCTTAGACTTTCGATTTGCCTTTCTGTTTTTGAGTAGTGTGCAATTTCCACGTCCTTGGTACCATGTGCCTGAGATCTTCCATTTGTTTTCATGCGGAACAATCTGATTAAAATACAGATCTATATTTCGTTTCGTTTGATGTTTTTATACTTTCGATGACCTCTACTGCATGAAGATCTGACTAGTTGTAAGTGGCGGCCGCGTAAGAGGTCATACGACTGGATTTTGGCCGTATGACATTAGACATTTGATTAACCAATCAGCGTTGTCGTTTGTAGTGGGTTACCCGCAGTTTCATGCAACTCACGCTAAAATCTGGCCGTAACAGACCGTTTCATTGGTTAATCCATGACATCTATAGGAATGCGGGTTATATGACAACTCTTCCAAATCTTAGTGTAGGAAAGACAAATCTTAGTGTAGTAAAGACAAATCTTAATGTAGTAAAGACAAATAATTCTGAACTATAAAACACGGAACGAACTAGGATCTGTGTTTTAATCAGATTGCATGCTTGATAATTTTATCTACTGACCCTTCATATCTTTA